AGTGGGTAGCGTCCAGAATTTACTCAAAACGAAGTCATTTAGAATGTTTTTAGAGCATAAACAGTAGTGTATCGGGTGTACTATTCCTTTAATCTTGTTTTGAAAGTATTCTTTTTTATTTTATTTTTTATTTGCTTAACTACATAAATTCTTAAACCTTTGTAGTGTTCTTTATCTACTGATTCATGAACTATCTGCTTTTGTCTTAGCACTATCCCTAATACGCATCAATTCCTTCAATTCATCATCCAGCCATGGTGCACTTCTATTCCTAACTGTACTTTTCCTCAACGGGTCATGTTTATCAACAATTTTCATTAATATTTCCATAAATCTGTTTAGAGCTGAGTCTGGGTTAACATCAGTGCAGACTCCTGACCAGTCAGCAGCTTGAATGTCATTGATATACTGCTCCTGATTGAAATATTTAAATTATCTTCTTTGGATTACTCTTCTGCCATCTTTAGGTAATTTTGTTTTCCTTGTGACCCCTATAAAGTTATGATCACTACAACCAATTGATGCTGAAACTGCCTTTGAGCACTGGTCTGAAACATTTGTGAATATATGGTCTATACAGATAGAAGATTTACCCAGTGTAGTCGTGCAGACTCTAGTTGGCTGAGTTATGATCTGTTTAAGGCCACATAATGCGGACATAGAGCAAAGTTTTTTGCATTGGGCAATTTGGTGAAAACCAATCTATATTTAAGTCCCCTAAAATAAATATTTCTTTGTTTTCGTGGCAGGCTGCATCTAACATATTACAAATTTCATCAAGATATTGAGAATTGGCATTCAGAGGCCTGCATAAGCAACCCGCTAGTATAGGTTTTAAGTGTGGTAAATGAACTTTTACCCATATTGCTTCTATACTGTACAACATGAGATCATTTCTCACTTTCACTGGAATGTCATCTATGATATAAAATGCTACGCCACCTCCATATTTGTTTCTATCTCTTCTAAATAATATGTAACCAAAAACCATTAATTCTGTGTCTGTAAATGACGAATGAAGATGTGTTTCAGACAAGGCTAGAATTAGAACATTATTTACCTGCAAAATGGGAGTTATGTCGTCAGTTTTGTTCCTCAAGCTGCAGAAGTTTAAATGAGCTAAAGTAAGACATTTAAGTCGAAAAATTGAATGACTCATTGAACATGTAGTCTAACTCACAGCTGGATGTTATCTGTACATACGTTTAGCTTGGCATTTGAACTTTTCCAGTGTTGGGCTTTATGATCCGTTTGTCAAATCTTAGGATGGTGTGGTCTCCTCTTTCACATGCATCTTTCAGCTTAGGCAGAAGTTCCTTTCTCCTTTTCAGCCTGGCCTCAGAAAAGTCTTCATTTATGTACATATTTGTGCCTTTCAGCTTCTTTGCAGAAGACAAAATGGCTTGTTTATCCTTGAAGCGCTGGAGTCTGACAATTATCTGCCTAGGTTTCCCCCCTTCTTGATATTGACCCACTCTGTGAGCACGTTCAATTTCCATCTTTTGGCCATCCAATCCCATTTTACTCTCAATCATATCTCGGATCTTCGTCTCAGTTGAGTCCCAGCTTTCACCTCTTTCTTCAGCAATGCCGTCAACAACAAGGGTATTCCTCCTTGACTGGTTCTCAATAAAGTCCAGCTTTGTTCCCATCTTGTCCAGCTCCTCCCTTGATTTCAGTATTTCCATTTCAAGTGTCTTTATTTTTGTGTCCACTTCCTTTTGCTCTGTCATTTCTGTGTCAACTTTANTAGCAGTATTAGCAAAGCTGACCTAGCACACTCGCTAACCGACCTCAAGACAGCCCTGTTGGACGAGATGAGAAAGGCATTTGATCAAGTGAATAACAAATTGGACGGGCTCCAACAAACTGTTAACAGCCATGGCGAACGTTTGGATTCCCTTGAACACGATACGGAGTCGCTTATCCAACGTCTGTCCATGGTTGAAGATCTTTGCACATCTCTTCAGGATGATAACACCAAGCTAAGGGCTAAGCTAACTGATTTGGAAGGGAGAAGTAGGAGGGGGAAATTCCGTTTAATTGGCATAGCAGAAAACAGTGAAGGCCCACAACCATGCAAGTTCTTTTCGCAATTACTGCAGGATGTTTTTGGACGGGACATTTTCCCTTCTCCTCCAGAACTGGACCGCGCGTACCGCAGTCTGGCTCCCAAACCAGGCTCTGGTGGCAGGCCTCGGCCTGTCACTATTTGCTTTCATCGGTACCAAAACAAGGAGCTAGTGATCCGGGAGGCCAGGAAAAGGGGAACTTTAATGTACCAAAACAATCCTTTCAGAATCTACGAGGACTACAGCCCCGAGGTGGTCAGTCAAAGGAAGAAATACGCAGCGGTTATGTCAGTTCTGTACGGGTTGGGACTGAAAACTTCGCTACTGTATCCTGCCCGGCTTCGGATTGTCAATACAGACGGTACACGCGTCGCACTCGGCTCGGTCGCAGAGGCTGAGAAGTTTGCTCAAGACTTTAAGAAATCGTGAATGATACTTCTTAGCACTGCATTTTAGTTCAGTAATTGCCTCAGTTTTACGGCGTGAGTATTGTCACAATTCATTGTTGGTTTGTTACTGGTGTTCATTTGAATTTGTATTTTATAGCTATGCGGGTATTACAATCTAAATTACTATTATGGTGGGCTTTAGTTTATAATCTACCTAAGCGGGATGGAGGAGCTTCTTTACGTTCTAAGCTAGTTTAGTTACGGGAGTAATACAGTTTGTTAGTGTAGGTGTGCTGCTCGTTCTAGCAGCTAGTGTCACCTGGGGGTTCGGGGGTAGGTCTTTTCTCCACTGTCGTTGTTTGACCAAAGTGCTGCATTTCACTGATTTTGTTATTTATTTTTGTTTTCTACCAGGATACTTTTGCGCTTTTTGTGTTGTAAAACAGACAAGGAATGTGTAGCTTTCTGGTTAATAGCCTTATTTATCAT